TCCAAAATTACCTATCACAGTACATTTGTCAGATCATATGTGGAGACCCTGAATTTTGTCCTAGTACCATGTTTTGGAAACTGTGCTGGTGAAGATCTGACAACTAGAGAGGAGTTGAAGAAACTGGGGGTGTTTTCCTGATGAATGAACACATTATAAAGTTCCAATGACATCTTCAAATATTTGAAGGCTTGTCTCACGGAAGGATGAGGAATTCTCCCTCTGATGGTCATGACTCAGACTAGTGGATAGAAGGTGAATATGATTCATAGAAATAAGAAGAGAAACTTCTGTCTTGGGAGCCAGGGAGGCCTTCTTTCTAGAAGGTTCAAACAGAAGACTGCTGTGGCCAGGCATCAGATGTCTTATGCTGTGGTCAGCTGACTGTAGCCTTGGGTAGGCCATCAGTCTCTCGGCTTTCTTCCTCCCTACTGTGGAAGCCATAATAGTCTACCTCCCTGGTGCTGAAGATCAAATGGAAGTAACACCTGAACAATAGCTTCTAATACTCTGTGGGGGCTGGGAGAGGCCTTTGGGTAGCCCAGAGAGCTGGCAGTAGGGAGAATCATGCTGACTAACCCCTTGCTGAAGCAGGAAATTTCCACTGGCCTGCAGTCAGGGACACCTTGCTACCCCTGGCAGCTTTGCTTTCTTCTTATTGGAATGTGCCTGAGGAGTGGCAGTAATTCTCTTTCCAGATTCCTCAGTCCTGAGTGTATAAACCTTATTGCTGCTGCCCTAAGAGAAGACGCACTTGGGCAGGGTTGATGGTGCATGGGGCATGGGGGAGGGGCATCAGGCTCATCACAATAGTTCAGGATACATTCCGAAGTTGCTCCTGATTTCTTCTCTTATTTACATTGTCCCCTTCCTTGTCTCTGGAATGCACTAATGTGATATAGTCTTCTTTCCGTCTGAAAAAAATGTACTCTTTGTATAATGTATTTAAGTCCCAGGGTTACATTTTATGGCTATACTGTGGACAAGGACACAGCAGCAGAACATTAGGGATCCTTGCTACACACCCAGCACTGTGCTGGCAGTGGGACAAAGGCCTCTGCACTGCTGTAGGGTTTGTTTTTTTCCTTTCAGTAACAAGCTTGATAAAAATGCCTTTTTTAGTACAAATAGTTTTCAGTGAAAAGATTTTACTGTGAGGCCAAAGTCAGAGAGCGAGGTAATGGTAGTTGAGTGAGCAGCTGAGGTCCCAAAAGTTGCCTGTAGTGTTAAGCGGGAAGATAGCTCACAAGCTTTTCATGTGTGGCCAATGTCAAAACAAGGTCCAAGCTAGACTTTCCATGCTGGTTTTGCTTACAGCTGGCATCAAGACACTCAGAAGATGTCATTACCACACTTGATAGCACTCTGTGGTGCCTATTACATAGTGGTGGGTGGTTAATGGTCACTATTGTGAAATAGTTTGTGCCCAGTTTATTAATAATTAGTTCTGGGCTTCCCAAGCCAGTACACAACAGAAAGGCCTCCTTGTTCTTCATTAAGAACTAGACAGCCTGATTTGTATCATAGGAAATGCTGTCAGTTTGGGGAAGCCAGCAGGTGCTTGTGTGGTAAAACGCTTAGGCATTACATGGTCATCTTTGCCTCTTTTCCTTGGTGTGAGCTGCCAGCGTGTAGAGCAGGACTTCTCAGGTCTGCATTGTTGATATTCTGGATAATTCTTTGCTGTGGGGGCTTCCATTTGCATTGTAGGATGTTTTACATCATCTCTGGCCTCTTGAGATGCTAGCAGCTTCTCCCTTCTGGTTATGATAAATGTATACAGATGGGCAGTACTGGGGTCTGAATTCAGGGCCTTTACGACTTGAACCGCATCCCAACCCTCAAAAATATTGCCAAATGTCTCTGCAGGAACAAAAATCACCTCTACACCACTGGTGTTGAGGGTGCTATCGGGTGCCCCTGCTCGAGCAGTGCCCTTCATGCTGTGGATCACTCAGTACTCGTAAGGCAGGGATTCTCAAACATAGTATCAGCATAAAGCTTTAAAAAAAATTCTGATGCCTATCTCAAAAGAAGAAATTCAAATGGCCAAAAACCACATGAAAAAATGCTCACCATCTCTGGCCATAAAGGAATTGCAAATCACAAAGCACACTAAGATTCCACCTCACCCCTGTTAGAATAGCCATCATTAGCAACACCACTAACAACAGGTGTTGGTGAGGATGTGGGGAAAAAGGAACCCTCTTACCCTGCTGATGGAATGCAAACTAGTGCAACCACTCTGGAAAAAAATTTGGAGGCTTCTTAAAAATCTAAACATAGGTCTGCCATATGATCCAGCAATACCACTCTTGGGGATATACCCAAAGGAATGTGACTTAGTTTACTCCAGAGGCACCTGCACACCCATGTTTATTGAAGCACTATTCACAATAGCCAAGTTATGGAAACAGCCAAGATGCCCCACTGCTGATGAATGGATCAAGAAAATGTGGTATTTATACACAATAGAATTTTACTCAGCCATGAAGAAGAATGAAATCTTATCATCTGCAAGTAAATGGGTGGAACTGGAGAACATCATTCTGAGTGAGGTTAGCCAGCCTCAGAAAACCAAAAATCGTATGTTCTCCCTCATATGTGGACTTTAGATCTAGGGCAAATACAGCAATGTGGTTGAACTTGGGTCACATGATAAGGGGAGAGCACATATGAGAGATATGGGGATAGGTAAGAAACCCAAAACATGAAAGTTTTGGGTTTCATGCACTGCATGAGGAACTAATACAGAAACCTTAAAGTGACAGAGGTCAACATGAGAAGGGGATCAGCAACCAGTGTAAAGATCAGTTAGAGATGAATCAACCTGGGTTGTAACACATTTGTACATGGAAGCAATGCTAAGAATCTTTCTGTATAGCTATCCTTAACTCAACTAGCAAAAACGCTTTGTCTTTCTTGTTATTGTTTATACTTTCTCTTCAACAAAATTAGAGATAAGGGCAGAACAGATTCTGCCTGGAAGCGAGGTGGGGTGAGGGGTAGTGGGGAGAAATGACCCAAATAATGTATGCACATATGAATAAATGAATAAAAAAAAATTCTGATGCCTAGGCCTCACCATCCCACGCCCCATTTCTAACTGGTCTGGGATATAGCCTAGGAAGGTGACTCCAGTTTCATTCATACGATACTAGTCATGGAATCAATTCAGTGGAACAATCATTTGCCAGGAATTAAGACTACATGTGCTGGGGTGGTGGCGTTCTTCTATAATCTCGGCAATCAGGAGGCTAAGGCAAGAGGATTGTAAATTGGAGGCCAGCCTGGGCTACATAGTGAGATGAGATCCTGTCTTTAAAAAACAAAAAAATATGCACGTGTAATTGAATAGAAAACATTAATGTCTAGTGCAAAAAACAAACAAAAAATATGCACGTGTAGTTGAATAGAAAACATTAATGTCTAGTGCAATAGTTGGGTAAGTACGTGTGTGTGTGTGTCTGTGTGTGTGTGTGTCTGTGTACGTGTATGTGTGTGTGTGTGTATATATGTGTGTGTGTATGTATGTGTGTATGTGTGTGTCCGTGTATGTGTGTGTGTCTGTGTATGTGTGTGCGTATGTGTGTGTGTATGTGTGTGTGTGTATGTGTGTGTGTCTGTGTATGTGTCTCTGTGTGTGTGTCTGTGTGTGTGTGTGTGTGTATGTGTGTGTGTGTGTGTATGTGTGTGTGTGTGTGTGTGTGTGTGTGTGTGTGTGTGTTTGAAAATGCTGCTCTAAGTGGTAGAAGAGCCATTAGCAAAATCTCTACCCTCAACTTGCCTTCTGGTCTGGTCACTTCTAACCCCTTCAGAAGATGCTTGCTTTTTTGTCAAGAATAGATAGTTAATGTGAAATTTTAATTAAGGACATTTGTAGTTCCCTGGCTTGTGAGCCTTATTGCCACATACTGAGTTTTCACCTAGACATTGATAAAATCAGCTATTTTATAGATGCTAGCCAATGGCATGCAGGTTTTTACCAGTAACTAAGTTTAATATATGTGTTAATTATTTATACGCGATGCTTGTGCTGGGTTGCAATTGTCTAACTACATCCAGCCGTCATGTGGCACTTGCTTAGATCGTCCTGCAAGTTTTATTCAGATCACTTTACAACCTTTTGACTTAAGTATTGTGGAGATTTGGGAGTCTTACAAAATAAACTGTTATACATGCTCATCTCACTGCTATGGAATAGGGGAATGTAGCAGAAGATTGGCAACTTTTGACCATTCTTTTTATCTCAGTACTCAGGAGAACATAAATCGAAAGGGCTGTCACTCTGTCCCTGTTGTGGTGACTCTGTCAGCAACTGTTGTGACTATGGTAGGAGATCTGAAAGTCATGTTCAGTTGCTAGCAAGACTTTGGGATCACTTGCCCTGATCATGAAGTCCATTATTACTCATGAGCACACTCATCAACATTTCCCACACATTACAGTCAGTCAACTCTTGGTACCCTTGGGGGATAGGTTCAGGGACCACCCCTACCCAGGATACCAAAATCCATGGATGCTCAAGTCCCTATAAAATGGTGTAATATTTGCATATAACCTCCACACATCCTCCTACACACTTTAAATCATCTCTAGATTACTTATAATACCCAACACAGTGTAAATGCTATGTAAATCATGTTACACTGTATTGTTTAGGGGATAATGACAAGGGGGTAAAATCAGTACATGTTCAGGACAGGTACAGTTCTTTTCCCCAAATAATTTCAATGCGTAATAAGTTGAGTTCACAGATGTGGAGTCAGCATAAATGGAAGGTCAACAGTACTTGGAATGTTGGCCTTTAATGTTGACATATACAAAACAGCAATGATAATTCTGATTACTCACAATACAGTCTTTTATCACAAAGTTCTCTCAGAGTTCAAGGGACATCCTGCATGGGTACTTTTGCCATTATCTGGGAAAACTAAGTTTAGGATTATTTTTTGAGTCAGCTGCTGAATGAAGCTCATCTGCTTGAATTAGGAAAGGAAGAGACCAATTGGTGTTGAGTAACCCATTAGTGGTCTGTCAGGTGACATGTTAAATATGTGATTCTGTTTTCTCTAGGTGTCTGAAGGTTCTATGGTCCAGTTTCCATCAGGAAACTTTTCCTTGACAGCAAAAACAGAAGAAAGGAACTTCCCCCATGGCAATGAACATCTGTTAAATTGGGCCCGAAAGGAATATGGAGCAGTTACTTCATTCACCGAACTCAAAATAGCAAGAAACATCTATATTAAAGTAGGAGAAGGTAAATCTTCAATGACATCAGCGAATGAATGATTTATGCAGTCAACTGTTTACTTTTCTGAGATCAGGTGTTTAAGGCAAGGAATCATAAGATTCCAGAATGCTGGAGGTGGCAAGGACCTGGGACCATTGGGTCTCTCCTATTTCCCTTTCCACTTGTTTCCTTTGCAGAAATGGCCCTTGTGATGCCCAAGTGAGAGACAGGGAGTAATGTGGCTGAGAGGGAGGTTGTTGTGTGGGATTTAGGTGCATGGATATCAGAAGAAAGGTGGAGGGCCATAAGCTGGTGGGGTGGGGAAGGTGGTGATAGCTGAGACAGTGGAGCAGGGCTTGGTAGGGTGTGTCTACATGTAGGACTTCTTCTTACCTGTCCTTCTGCAAACTTTTGAACTCAGTACCAGAGTATAGTGTTGAGAAATTAGTTAAATTTTGGACAATAGCAGAGTGAAAGTGCTATATTAAAATATAGATTTAATACTAATGCCTGGTATAAGGACAAGATATTGGAGAAAGGAACTGTATGGCCTTAATAAGAGACTGCTCATTTTAATTTCCTTGCCTTGCAGAGGGATATAAATATATGATGACTCAATTTTGGGAACCTATTTTTTTATTTTAATTAACTTTTCATTCTTTTCAGTTGAGTGTATTTTAGAACCCCATAAGCAAATGAGTCCTCACTAGTCGGGTGATTATGTGAACACTGTGTTTCAGATTTTAAACATTCAGTTCTTTCTGTTGAATTCTTCAGCACTTTCTGCCTCTACAGACAGTGTGGCAGGGAAGGGAAGGTTGTTGAATGCTTGATGTGAACTTTTTTTGGGGACTGGACTGTTTTAAAGTATGCATGAGACAGGTCCAGAAAAGGGGGACGCAGAAGTCATTGTCAGTGTGTGCTAATATACAGCCCTCGTCAGTGGCTTTCAAGTGCACCCCACCTAACCCATAGTGACCCCAGGAGGCAGTCATTGGGTCTGCCATTCTACAGAGGGCTTAGTGGAGGACCGGGTGAACTTGCCAGAATCACCATGACTAGCAAGTGGCAAAGTCAGATCTCAAACCCAGGTTTTTGACTCTCGATTCTAATGCTGGTGGCCTGGAGCTGTACTTTGAGACTCAGCCAAATGTGCATAATCTGAAAATGAAGATGGGTTGCTGGATGGAAAGGTTTGGTTCAGGATGAGAGGAAGGGTTTTAAATGCAGGTTGTGTTCAAAAGGTCTAAATTTGTTACTAGACTCTTAGGATAGCTAATACTAAAAGTCAGGTCCCATTGAGACAAAATGAAAAATCTCTGTTAATGATGAGTCTGAGGCCAAGTCAATGCTGTGCACGTCTGGAACAGAATTGTAGTGCATCAAACTTACCCCTGGGAATTCGTTAGAGTAAGAAAATGGGAGGTAGTAACATTTAGAATGTTGGGCCCTGTTCCCTTGGCAGTCACCTGCCCTGTGAGCAAAGTGGTAAGTCACATAAGTGAGCTACACACTGGGTGGGGAAAGTGAACTTAAAGACCTGATGTCCAGCCTGGTGAAAACTAGATGACTCCATAATAACACCTCTGAAGCCCCTGAAACTTGACTCCAGCCACCATGTATAGGAGCAATTGTTGCGGGAAATTGGAAGCTGAGATACAGGACACTGAGGCAGTTTAGCAGGAAGCAACGTTTTATTGTGCCAGCACAGACCCGGCAGGCTGGTGTCCAAAGGCTGAGCCCCGAGAACAAAGGGGTCTCACCTTATATCCCTTACAAACAGGTTACAGAAAAAAAGCAAGGTCTAATCCATATATGGTTATATTAATTCTATATGCTACTTTACCCTAGAGCTACATAACCTTTTCCCCTCCCCAGAGTTACAAGGCCTTCCCCCATTCAGATTTGTCAGGTTTTATCTCTCTGCTATGCCATCTCTACCTCCCTGCTACTTTCTCAGGACTCAAGCCTAGTCTGTTTTCTTTTGATCCTCCTCCCTGCTACACAATTAGGGAAAGCAAGGCTCCTTGGGTAGGCTGGTGGACCACAGAAACCTTGGATCAGACTCTACTGAGCTAGCCTCTTCCTCTGGCTTCCCAGAATCTGACCTGTCTACTTTCCTTGGACCCAGGGTCTCCAGGGCAGGAGCTTGAACTCCAGTGGTTCTCAAAGTGTGACTTGCACCCCAGTAGGATAAGCAACACCTAGTTATGTGTTAGAAGTGTCATTTCTGAGGCCCACCTCAGGTCAAATGAATCAGAAACTCTGGGGTGGGATGAGCAATTGATGTCTTTATGGGATCTCCAGGTGATCACAGTGTTCACTCACATTTGAGAGCTGCTTGAACCTGTCTACATAGAGCAGAAGAACCGAGAGCATTGCTTCTGCTCTTCATAACTGTGGGCCTCAAACAACACACATTTGCTACCAGAGCTTCAGTCTCCAGTGAGGCACTTGCATTATTCCCAGGCTCATTCCTTCTCTGAGTGTATCCTTCTGGATCCTGCTTGGAAAAACTTGCCAGGTTTCTACCTGGCAAGAGGGATCTCCCTCTGTAGTTTTCTTTCTGCTTAGTATTTGGTGGTGTTTTATTTGCAGTGCTGGGGATTGAACCCAGGGCCTTGTGTATGCTAGGCAATGCCATATCACTGAGCACATATCACCCCAAGGCCTTAGTTTTTTGAAACAGGATCTTATTATGTAGCTCAGGTTGGCCTCAAACTTGTGAGGCTCCCCCAAGTGCTGGGATTACACTTGGCCACCTCACTTGGCCTTCGTATGAGTTTTTATGCCAGGTAATATGTAGAAAGTCATTTGGGGTTTTAAAAAAACTTAAGCATTCAACAACAAAAATGATCTGCTTATTTAGCTCAGTGACAATGGCATTGGGGCCAGAACTCCTAGTAACAGCAACTTTGAACAATTAAACCTTTCCTAGTAGCTCACCAACATGGGCAAATATTTCGTTATTTGTTTCAGTTCTCACATTATCATTTGTGAATTCAGAAAATCTATACTATATGCCTGTTACATGCCAGCTGCTGGCCAGGTGCACCTGTGCTGGAAATGCTCCCAGTCCCAGGGGAGTCATAGTCTCTTGAGTTCTCTAGCCCATACATGTCCTTCTGGTTTTTCATTAAATTTTAGCCCTGCTGTCCCTATATCATTTTCCATCCTGTGACCTGAGGGAGGCCTTGTGGGGCTGCAGCTGTGGGGTATGCAGACTTCATCTTCACATCTGGCAAAACCCTCAGCAGATGTGGAGGAAGGCTGCTTCAGCGGCCCAAGTCTGGAGCCTCGAGCTGCTCTCTCTTCGGGTTTTAGAAAAGAATGCAGAGTGCAAAGCCAACCTCTCTTGCAGTGAGCCTGCAGGCAGTGGCCTTTGAACACTCTGGTCCACTCTGTTCTGAAGTGGGGCTTGGGTACCTTGGTGGCTGGGGCTGTGAGGGCACTGTGTGTGCTGCAGACTGCAGCAAAGGGAGGTAGGACAAATGAGGAGGGGCGGTGTCAACTCAGCTTTGGAACCTCTGAGCTGATTCTTCGCTCTCAGTTGAGATGTTCATGTGGGTATGAACCCTGGCATCTCATCTTAAAATGAAAAAGGCAGACATCTGTATCATGAAAGTGCCAGGGCTCTGATTAATTACCCCTTCTGAAAAGCTTGCTACACATAGAACTTTCTTGTCACTGGTCCCAGCTGTCATACTGCTAGCAGCTTCTCTCAAGTTCTGTTTAAACATTTAAACGGTGGATGGAAATCCCATCAGGCACTGCTGTGTAAGAGGCAGGTGTCCTTGGGGCAGGGTCTTCGCACTCTTGGTACTTGACATCCCTTTGCAGGTGGAGATGTGTCAGTCCTCGCGCAGTAACGTTTGTAAAAGCACCATGAAGACTGTAAAGTGCCGTGTAAACATTATTTGTGTGGGTCAAGAGTGTCCTTTCCCCCAACTCCAGCCTTTAATCTTCAGAGTATAAAATGCTATGAGGAACGACTAAAAGGGAATGCTTAATGCTACACGTGTGGACCACAGAGGTGACTAGTTTTGCTTTGGTTGGAATTGAAGTAACTTAGTCACAGACTAAGGCAGGCTTCGGGGTCCCATGTGTCATAAACTTGATCATTGTCACTGTCATCTCTTTCGCATCTGCTTACATGTAGCTCAGGGCTTTGACATATCACCCTGTGCTTTTTTACTTTTAGATCAAGTGTTCCCTCCCACGTGCAACATAGAGAAAAATTTTCTCTCACTCAATTACCTTGCTGAATACCTTCAACCCAAAGCAGCCGAAGGGTGTGTGATTTCCAGCCAGCTCCAGGATAAGGAAGTGCATGTCATCGAGTTGATCACCCCCAACTCTAACCCTTACAGGTGGGCAAGTGTGCGCATGTCTTCTGAACTGAGAAGAGGTGAAAAGGAGGATCTTTCCTGACTTGAGATGGGGGAAAGGCAGCTCTTCTTGTGTGAGGGAAGGGAGCCAACTATGTGCCAGGCGTGAAGAAGGAATAAGGTGTGGTGGAATAGGTTACATTCTGCATCTTTCTCTAGATGCCGTGTGTTCCAGAAGTACAAGTTTCTTGGTATTAACTACAGGACATGATTACTCTTTGAGGCTATCTTTGTTGAAAAGATTGCATAGTGTGCCCCACTACTACAATTGTCATCTTAGTAACATCCTTTTTTTAGAAAAGTTCTGTTCATCATGACCTCAGAGCAAGCACTTAAGCACTCGCAACTACTTGCTTCAAAGCTCTGTGTGTGTGTGTGTGTGTGTGTGTGCGCGTGCGCGTGCGCACGCACGTTGGGTGTGTGTATATGTGCATGCTCAGGGCGGATCATGTGTGTTTGTATTGTGTGGGTGTTGGATGTGTTTATTGAGTGTGTATGTGTTGGGATATGTGTATTGGGTGTGCATATGCTGGTGATATGTGTACACATGTGTGTGTGTGCTGCAGGTGTGTGCGTATTGGGTGTTGTGTGTATACGTGTTGTGTGTGTGTGTTGGGTATGTATAGTGGGTGTATGTCGGAGGAGTAGGGCTCTTCATGGTAACATACCAAGGAGCCAGCAGATAGAATTTGCTTCTGTTCCTGTCTTCGTTCTCTCTCTCAGCTTCCTACCACTGAACTGGAAATTTGACCCTCCCTATTGAGAATAATTAGAGAATTTTTAAGAAAATAGAAAAAGCCAAAAAAATAGTTCCTTCTCCCACTTTAACCTATTTTTCATGTGGACTAGTGACTTTAAATTTAAAATTTTTATTGTAGAGGGATTTCAAAATTAAAATTGTAAGCAAGTTTTGATTTCAAAAGTGACTGAACTACAGATCATTTTTGGTAAGATTCCATCCTGTTCACTATGAGGAATTTTGTGGAAAATTAAAAAGGAATAGCAATGGAATCAAGCTGGCAAATGTATTTGGATATTAAGCCAGAGTCGTCATCTGAGTATACCATTCACTTTATGCTTTACAACTGTGTAAAACCAATAAAGAAATAAAGATTCTCTTCCCTTAGACTCAGAATGGCAGACGTATTACTGTTCAGTTTTTTAAAAATCTCTTTTATATTGAATTCTTAGAAGTTTGAATTGTGTTCATCAGTTTTCAAGCAATCGCTTGGCTGACCATCTGTTTTCTTTATTTCAATAACTGTATATCCAGGAGTTTGAGGAAGTTAATGCAGATATGATTGTTTAACAATTGTTAATGGTTTAAACAAACCTTGTATAAGTAAAGAAACTCCCCAGCCTTTTGGCTCTTATTTTATTCTGAAGTTTCCTATTTTTTTTTTTTGTTTTCACATCACACCCCCTCCTCTCTGCCACCAGCCTTCCCCTCACCAAGCTGCCTCCCACTTCTGGTTTTGAAGGACTTAGAGCTTATAGCAAGTTAGAAAGTTACACACTGAAGTTGTTGAAGGTTGACAAAGCAACAATTCTACTGCAAAAGTAAACCTCTGGTTTGTTCATGTCCATTTCTAGCAGTGACTGCATTAAGTAACCACTCTTTTTTCCCCCAAAGAAGAGAAAAACTTGAGTGGTTAATTATCAGCAGGCAAATGTTTCTATTGTTATGTAAAAATCATTTTGTTATGTGTGCAATAACAATCTGTTTTGCACATGTCATTTGCCTGGGATCCACTCCAGCTTTTTAATCAACTGGCCAGACACTAGAAACATGAAGACTTGGAAGAGGGGAGATAGTTGCAATGTTCTGGCATTTAGGTCCTAACTTTGCCTTTGTTTTCCATTCACAGTGCCTTCCAGGTGGACATAATAATTGACATAAGGCCTTCTCGAGAGGATTCTGAGGTGGTCAAAAACCTTGTCCTGATCTTGAAGTGCAAAAAGTCTGTTAACTGGGTCATCAAATCCTTTGATGTTAAGGGAAACCTGAAAGTTATAGTAAGTAGCTTGACAATTTCTTTGTCTTGATGAATGGTAGTAATTTAAACTGCTATTATAGGTGTTATTTTTATCAAGGTTCTGCCTCTTTGAACTTTCGGCTCTCGGTTAGTTTTCACTTTGCAAACTAGGCTGCTTTTTAGCTAGCTTCTCTTGACAAGGTCAATCAGTGCAGTGGTTAAAACATGGCCTCTGGGAGCCAGTCAGACATGGGTTTGAGTCTTGGCTCTTCCATTTACAAATTGTGACCTTGGACAAGTTCCTTAAGCTTTCTGAACTCCAGTTGCCTCAGTTGTGACGTTCTGGAAGTATATTAGTGTAAGTCATAGGAAGTATAAGATAATGAACTCGGTTTGCATTTCATTGTTAACCGTCCTGTAAGAGGCTCAGTAAAACTGAGTTGGGGTTAGTACTCTGGGTAGATAATGGTAAACTTAGCTGACTCCAGCTTGTATCACAATTTTTGCTCTTGAGTTAAACATTTGCCATTGGTATGCATTTTTGTTTGCTCCTCACTTCTGGGGCAAAACACCGAAAAGAGAAGTAGGTAACTGTGCACACTCCAGCCTCTCCTTAAACCTTCTAGTTCACGAAGGGCAGACCACGAGAGGCTTACTTGGTTGGTGTGGAAAAAACAGCAGCTAATTTCCTGAAAACTTGGATGTTGGAATCTGGTGAAATAAATCTTATCTTGCATATATTTAGGGAATATTTTAGCCAAATACTGCAGTAAATTATATTGAAAAGATAAAAATCCCTCTCCCCATTTTTTAAAAGCATCTTTAGCATTTCTTTCATAGGCTCAAATGTTAACGTATTATTATTTTTTTTTTTCCTTTTTTGAGACAGGGTCTCACTATGTAGTCAGACTGGCCCTGAACTCAGATCTTCCTGCTTCAGCCTCCTGAGTGCAGGGATTACAGCTGTGTACCACCATACCCGGCTACATTATCTTTTGTTTAAAAAACAAACAAAAAACTTTGATCAAGTTCTCTTTCAGTACCTGTATCAAATCTACTGGAGTAGGTTTTAGCTTTTCAATATTTTGGGAGTGGCCTGCCTTTGGTTTTGGTATTATTCACTCATGCCTGGCACCTTCCACGTGATACAACAGTGAGCAAAGGCATCAGTTCCCTAGGCAACATCAGGTAAATGCACTCACTGGAGGCAGCAGAGAAAGCCAGAAGCACACACGTCTTCGTTTCAAAGTAATCATTTCTGGTTCCGGTGGGGTTTTTTTCTGAAACTTTGAGAGGGTCGCAATAACTCATCATGCGTAGTGATGATACATTGCTTTGGTGTTGAGCACAAAGCCCAGCCGTGATTTTCTGAGGTCACAGATATTTTGATTGCCTTGTCCTGGCATGGTATGAGGGGTGTTGGTGACCAGGGGTGTCTGCTGCTTTTGCTGCCTGGCACACCAACCAAATGTTTTTAATTTCAGAATAACAAAAACAGGAAAGGGAATCATGCTTTGAAAAGCAAAAAAATCATACGGTCCATTTGAATTCTCTGCTGGAGTTCTTGTGCAAATATTCTTCTGCCCTGACCCTTCAATGGCTTGCTCTTTCCCTGAGAATGTGTGCCTGGTCCATGGCAGACCTGGAGTTCACGTTGAATGTCCCCATCTCTGATATGAATCAGAAAGGCTAGAAATGAGATCGCTCATCCCGAGCAACATCTGTTTATATTCCTCTCTTTGGCTGTACTCCTGTTCCAGGCCAATTTTGGACAATGCATGACAACATTTCTAAACAATTAGGTAATGTTTTATGATGTTCTTTTTTGTTCTCCCAGTTTCATGCTTTGTGATTTCCTAACTCCCTGTCTTAGATGCGAATTCTAACTGTGCCGTAGGAGAAAGGTACCTATTAATACAAAAGTTTAAATGGTCGCCTAGAAAAGGAGAATTGGTTTATAAAGAACTTGTTTCTAGTATTTCTTGCAGAGACAGCATGGTGGAGTGGAGAGAATCTTGGCTTTGGACCAGGAAGGGCTAGATTCAAGTTCCCGTCTCTAATTGTCATTACTTGCAGTAGCTATTGGGCAGTCTAATTGAGTACTGAGTCTGTCTACTCACCCGTGAAATGGGTATGTGATGATAGGAGTGACTTTGAGAGTTATTATGCAATTTAGCTGAGTTCATTTGTTTGATCATTCATCCATTCATTCAGCAAGTCCTTGTTAAGGCCTACAGGCGATCTCTAAAGCATTGGACACATTGCCTGCACGTGGTGCGTTCTCAGCTACTGTGCTGCTTAGTCTGAGTCTCAGGTTTTCCTCCTCTAACAAAGGAATAGCAACACCACTCTCCTTGTGTTTTAGAAGAGGGTAAAATAAGATAATATATGGAAGGCTCCTACCACAGTGCCTGGCATATCAAAGGGGTTCATCTTCCTGCCACAGCTGCTTTCTTTAAGAGTATGTCTATACAAGGGCTGGGAACATAGCTAAGTGGCAGAGTGTTTGCCTAGCCTAGTGAGGCCCTGGGTTCAATCCCTAACACTGCCAAAACAAGGGAATATGGCTATAGGAACAATTAGAGCATTTCTCTGAATATGATAAAATAGGGAAATGTCTACTAAAGGAATGGTAAGCAACTTGATGGGGTAAATTTAAAGAAGATACCATTGAGCATGGGTAGCTGTATTTGAGCTTGTTGGAAGTGCAGTGTGGACAAAATGCACCTCCAAATGGCAAAATGGCTAAAAAGAGATGCAGAGGGCTGTGCTGGGCAAGAATAGGATTACTGGGGAATGTCCACGTTGCCATATCCAGCTCCGGCTCTTTCCTCAGGCCCCTTTGGCTAAGGCATAATCACTTCTATAGCAGGAAATGCCCCAGAACATAAAAAGAAGAGATGGAGAAAGCTTATTCAAAGCTTCTTCTTCTTATGCTATTTGCTGTGGCCTCAGAACTTCCAGGTTGTTGATAGCCAATTTATTCTTCGAAAAAACAGTTTTAAAATCTCAGTGAGAATATGCATCACACTTTCTAGCCATCCTCCCCCTCCCTGTACCATCAGTTCTGATGATGTTGGGGCAGGAGTGGAGACACTTAGACTCTTATCTCACTCATCATCTCTCATGAGGATGTGCCTGGAAAAGATGGTGGTGGTATTTGGAGACCCCCTTAGCTCCACTAGTTTCGAAAAATTCTGGGGCTTTTAGAAATACAGGGTGAGGAATCTGCTCAATGCTGAGGACTAACTTGCTTTCGTTATTCCAAGCCTTACTGCTTTACAAATGTGTAGATAGATGTCTAGCTTTTTAACTTCCAAGCCATAATTAATATGAGGGATACTGACAGCTACTAGATTTAATGTGGGAAGGTGTGAACAGATTATTCCACACTGGTACGAAAGGACAGGTGGCAGTTACGATGATAGTATTCTGGAAATACGGTATTTTCTCAGCTGTCTGACAACATGAAAGACTAGGGCAAATGAGGCCAAACAGTGTTGTTTAGGCCAAGGTTGCAATTCCAGCCAATCAGAATACATGCCGCTTGGAAAGGCTGGAAGGAGCTGTGCCTCAGATACTGGTGTTGACTAAATGAATAAAAGTTCTAAGAACAAATTGGATCCTTTAAAAACAAACAAAAAACTCCTCTTAGTTTCCTTTCTTTCTTCTTTCTCCCTATTTTTTCTTTTCCTTTTCCTTTCCTCAGTTCCATCTCCCCTCCCCCCACCTCTTCTCCCTTTCCCTTTCCCTTTCTCTTTCTTTCCTTTTAACCCTTGCTTCCCCTGAGGAATTTTCTCAGCGTAAGAGCTAAACTACTCTGAATCTGTGAAATTGTGTTTACAAGTGGCTGCTGAGCATGGTTAGGTTCCATCGCATCCCTTTGTGTGCAGTGATTGTGACTGGTCACTCTGGTAGCTTTCCCTCAGCTGAGCACTTGTATACTAGGTAAGATCCTTTAAGCTTTGAGCTGAAATACATGTGTCCTCCCACAACCAAAGTGGCCAACAGAACTTAGAGCCTGTGACTCTTTTATGGTTTTACAGTGGGAAAGGATTAATATTTAGTCACGTTAGGGGCAAACAGAATGGGAAACAAATGGGGAATTTAGGAAAAATGCTGCATATATGCAGGAGAAAATTACTGGGCATGGAAATTAAAGTGATTTTTATGCAGTGTGAAAATGGCCTAATCTGCGCGCCTGAAGGGCTTTCCAGCCCTGTTGGAGCAGTTGTTGAGACCATACCTTCCCATCGGGTCCCCTCTGCAGCATGCAGCAACCCTACCCTCTGACAAGACCTCTGCCACTGGCGTCAGTAGGAGACATAGACATGTACCTTCCATGTCCTGGCTTAATATCCTTTCTTTAAAATATTTCTATCATTTTAGTTTTGCAACTGATTACTCAGTGAAAGCTGATTTTATGACCTCCTTCTGTTTATTACTGAATAAAATATTGATAGTTAGGTGGTAGCCTTAATTAATGTTTTAGAACATAAAAGATAAGTACATTCAGTTAATAGAATTGCAAGAGGCTACAACTTCAGGATTACTAAGATGATCATAAATTATACATGAAATATAAACATTTGTTGTTTCACCATGTGAAATCTAATAGTTTATAGAGTTGGGATAGTCTGCACACCCAAGTTGCTAGATTGTACCGCCTTTCACTTAACTCCAGGGATATAAGAAGTAGAAAAACAGGCATTTTATGGCAATATAACTTGTACATCTGTATATTTGGTACATAATTTCAAATAAAAATCAGGTAAAGTTTGTTATTCAAAATGGTATTGTGTATTAATGTAAACATAAACTAACTCTTTAGTAACAGACTATGTATGTAGCTATTTACCTGTCATTGGATTATTTTTATCATTATAAGCTATCCAAGCAGTGTGATCAGACAGCATGAATAGATGCTTCTCCATCTGCTGTTAAAGGTTTTCACACCAGTGTTCTTCACCCAGGGAAAGTGGGAATTAAAAAAAGGAAATAATCCTTCACACATAATCTAGAATCTGTTTTAGATATTTAATTGTAATTATTTAAATCACTTTTTAATTTTAGATTCATGAGTGAACTTTTCCTATTATCTGTAGGCTCCCAACAGTATTGGCTTTGGGAAAGAAAGTGAAAGATCCATGATCATGACCAAATCCATAAGAGATGACATCCCTTCTAACCAAGAGAATTTGATGAAGTGGGCTTTGGACAACGGCTATAGTCCAGTGACATCATACACAATGGCTCCAGTGGCTAACAGATTTCATCTCCGGCTTGAAAACAATGGTAAGTATGGATTTTTTTGTTGTATTAAAGTTAGTTTGCATTCTTCTCTCAGGACCACCCGTAACTGAGGACACAGTGGGGTTAGGACTGCAGTAAAGAAGTCTGTGATCAGAAGCTGTACCTTATAGGGAAATGGTAATGAGGATTCATACTTGGGCTTTTTTATGTAAGGAAAGGGCCAGAGTTGCTACTCTAGTTTGAAGGAACAGAAAGCAGAGGCTCAACGAGTTTTGGGGGGTTTCTAGAGTCTTATAGCTAATATGACTCAAGCCCCAAGTTTCTGGTCCCCTGACCTGTTCCTCACCCCAGGTCATACTGCTGAGCATGATGCTGATAGAATGAAAGTTATGAGTGTGAACTCAAGTTCCAGTGCTGTTTATTTACCATTTGGGGAGAAATTGCTTTATCTCTGAAATTTAGATTACTCTTCAGTAATCAGGGGGAAATAATAGCATCTACCTTACCAGGTCATTGTCAAGGTTTTTATTAATGTACAAGTTAAAAACCCTCCAAATCTATGACTTCTTTTTGGACCCATACAGCTATAGCTCCTTTTCAAAAGAATTGAGTGCATGTCCATCAGTCATCTTCACATCCAACTTCTACTGAGGTGACTCTGAGCTCTAGCATACAGCTTGGCCTTCAATAGTGGAGGGAGAGAATATTGGGGAAATTAGTCATTTTTCTTTCGGTTGTTGAAAATAAGATAAGGATACTGAATATTGCTTTATGGAAATCTATCTGCCTTTCAAGGAGTAAGTCTGCCTAAGCAACTCTTTCTTTTCCTCTTAGGGACTATGTTCTAAATCGCCAAGGTACCCAGGTAACTTCTAGAATCTAGCACTCAAAAGAAGGTAGAAAAATAATTCAAAATACTGATATTAGAACTGGAGAGTAGCTCAGTGGTAGAGCCTAATATGCTAGAGGCTGATATCATAATCAATTAATTAATAAAAATAAAAATACTAGGATTGTTTTTAATAGTTTCTTTTGAGAAACTATCTTAAAATTCTCTGGGTTCAAGGAAAGTATTTTAACGGCATTTGACCAGTGCCTCATATAGCTTACTTGAGTCACAGATTTGCGTATCTTGTAGGGACCAGACATCATCCACTACAATGGCGCTCAACCTTGGCCGCATGCCAGAGTCACACGAGGAGCTTAAAACACATTCATGATTGCATCCCACACAACAGAATCTGAGTTTTAATTGGCTTGGGGTACAGCCTGGGTGTAGGGATTTTGTTTTTAAAGCTCCAAAAGTGATTTTGATGTGCAGCCAAAGTTGAGGACCACTGATGTACTGAGAAGCTGAGGCTCAGAGAAGCAAGCCATTTGTTCAAAGCCCCTTGGCTAGTTAGAACACCAGAACTTCTAATCACTTTTATGCACTTTAAACGTAATCTTAACACTTGCCCTTTCTGTGCTAATTCCTCCTGTTCTGCTTCCATTGATGACTGTGGTCTGCCATCGCACAGTAATGACATTTTGCCTTCTGTCTCCTCAGAGGAAATGAGAGACGAGGAAGTCCATACCATCCCTCCAGAGCTGCGGATCCTGCTGAACCCTGGCATCCTGCCCACCCTGGAGAATCCACCCTTCCGGGGAGGAGGAGGCCGAAATGGAGGGCTCCCCTTTCCTTTCCCTGATCTCTCCCAGAGAGGCCGGAAGGATCGGGGAGAAGGTAGAATCCCCCGGCAAAAGGACTCTGTCATCCCTAGCATTCAACTGTTTCCTGTTCCCAGAGAGCCAGAAGAGGTGCAAGGGAGTGTGGACGTTGCCCTGTCAGTCAAATGTGACAAAGAAAAGATGATCGTGGCTGTAGAGAAAGATTCTTTTCAGGTCAGTGCAGGCTCTTAAAGAAGAGAAGAGTCCCCATCTCGCCCAGTCTGTTCATTATTTCCCTAGCTCTTCCACTTTTGATTTCCAGAGACTTTGACAATGTTTTCTCCATTGGGTGGGCCCAATTCCCCTTGGCTGTGAACAACAACCTGGGTCCTGTTGTTCTCAATGGGTGGGTGGGTAGGGATCCAGATCCTCATGTGTCAATATTTTGGTATTGAATTTCCAAGGCCAATAAACACAATCCTTGGGCTGATGACAGGTGATCAGCTGCGAAGAAGTGAGTGGGAGAGTACATGATGCAGGCCACTGGCCACCTTTCCTTGGAAGACCAGCAACATGTGCTAACTGTGTTAACTGTGAGCCCTCAGCTTGTCTTCCACGGTTGTTATTTCAGGCCAACAGCTACTCAGGGATGGAGCTTACCCTGCTGGATCCTTCCTGCAAGGCCAAGATGAATGGCACTCACTTCATTCTGGAGTCTCCCCTCAATGGCTGTGGAACTCAGCAGCAGCAGTCAGCCCCTGATGGTGTGGTTTACTACAACTCTGTGAGTGTTCTCCAGAACAAAGCTTTTGCAGGGAGTTCCTGGGTGTTACTTAAAATTAGTCTTAACATTTCTGTGAAAATGAGAAGAGGTCTAAATAAAGCCAGGTGTCAGTTCTCAACAAAATGGGATGCACTTTGGCCCCAAACTCTTGTTTTATTTGCTTTATTGGTGAGTTTGTGGCAGTTGGAAGACCCTGTTCTCTCAGCTGGAGTTGTGATCTTGTCCAAGATCCAAAAAAGATTATTTAAACTCTGACAAGGATCTTTAAGAAATTATTAAGTCTCTCTCTCCATCTCTAAGAAAGACCCTAAATTAAAAAAAGCTTTTGAAGTCACCTGGAGGAAGATTCCACACTTTTCTTCTAGTGATAATCCATTGCAACAGCTGAACTTCACTTTCCAAAAATCATTTGTGTCAGTTCATCTAAATTTTTTCTCTTTGGATTAAACCTACACTCTTAGAGACAGAGACTAGGCAGTGAGTATTAAAAGCATTTGAAACATGAAATCTCACGAGAACTTCAAAGTGCCAATTTGGCAGTTTGGATTATACTTTTCATTCTAAAAATAACTCTCAGAGTCCCTGTGTCTCCCTTGGACACGGGATGTGTGTCTGTTTTTAGTGCCATTTCCAGCATTGACATGAGCTGAGTGACTAGAGCTGCTGTCTATCCACAGATACACTTGACCAAGCCCAGAGGAGAGACCTGTGAGGAATGGCTCTCCTGTGGGCCCAAGCTAGTGCTCCCCATGGAGCTGGAGAGAACCTTAAGATGATCTCATTCGATTTCCTCATTTTGCTTAGATTCGAGGGACTAATTAATGTCAGAGTCAGACTAAACCAGCTGCCTAATCTCTCTCATACACTGATGTTTCTTCAATACCAGGCTGGCCTTAATAATCTCCCTTTGTTACTCAACTAATTCATTTTTGAACCTTTGTCTTCCTGTTAATTCCAACACTAATTTCTTGCAATTATCCAGTTTCTCCAGATATAATGATTGTCATATATTAGTGATATACTTGGTTGTGGCATTTTAAAACTGGTATCTGTTAAGTATTAAAAAAAAGGTATCAGTTGCTTCAGGAGAGTAAGGGATATTATGACCCCTTTAAAGTCCCTTTTTTATTCTTATATTTTTATTCCAGGGTAGACAAAACCCTAGGTACTTGTTTTACCTGCATAATACTTTCCTTCTCTTCCCTTTTCTGGGCATTTCAGCTGTTCATTATAACTGTTTGTAATACTTTTCAGGCTTACTCTGTGTTTTTGTTTTACATCATGTTCAGAAATGGAAAGAAACTAGGATTTTATTTGTGGAGCCATTGTCCTTAGATGAACCTTTAGAACTAACCCAGGAACAATAATTTCAGCTAATTCTCAGATAGATTTTCCTGGCATAAAATGGACTCCTTTTTGTACCCATATACCACATGGGAAGGTACTGGGGCAGGCATGTTCAAAAGAGGAGTGTAAGAAAAAGATGAGGAAGACTGGCTCCTTTGGAAACATTGAGTCCTGTTCTTATAACTCAAACCAAACTTTCTATAAACCTTACAAATAACAAAAGCTCCTTACAATAGCCAACCCTTACTGTTTCTTAGACTTTTTAATATAAAGACTCACAAGGAGAAGCCTCCCTCACAATATCCAGAAACCTATTAACTACCCTAGTGAACTCCATTTCAGTGACTGGGGATCCCCACAGTCTGAAATAATTTATAGTTATCCAATATAGCTACAAAATAAATCTTTATTTTTCACACAGGAAAATTACATTGGAAAATTTGAATTCCAATCTTAAATTGAACTGGCATCGGCTTTTCCTTATTCTTTGAAGATGAAATCCTCAGCAGCTTGGAGTTGTTTGTATTCAAAGTCAGATTTTTTTGATTTGCATGTGAATTGTCACACATGCAATTGGTCATGTGGGAGACACCCAGATGCTGGTGTGGTGTTTTCACAGTGACTCTACTGTCTTCCCCTTTCAGGTTGTGATACAGGTTCCATCCCCTGGAGATAGTAGTGGCTGGCCAGATGGTTATGAAGACTTGGAGTCAGGTGATAATGGATTTCCGGGAGATATGGATGAAGGAGAAGCTTCCGTCCTCAGTCGACCTGAAATTGTGATGGTATGTGTCAGTTTCCAGTGGGGAACTTGTGCAAAACAATGTTTATTTGGTTGGTTTCCATTAGGGACTATCAGAAAATAAAATTGTATATTAAAGGCCAAAGCTCTTAAAACTCCAAGGCCTTCAAACCATGTGACTGATTTATCCTTCTATTTGGGCTTTTTTTTTTTTTTTTTTTCAGTTTAACTGCAGCTTGCGGCAGCTGGGGAATCCCAGGAGCGCCCAGGACCAGCCCAATGGAAACGTCACTTTCAACATGGAGCTATACAACACCGACCTCTTTCTGGTGCCCTCTCAGGGGGTCTTCTCTGTGGCAGAGAATGGACACATTTACGTTGAGGTGAGACCTGAGTGTTAGCTAAAGCGCTCAGTGCGGTTTCTTCATTCCTTCACCTCCTGGTGAAGGCTGAGCTCAGAAGACCCTTCCAAGGTTGCTTTCTGACCAAGGCAGAAAATATGAGGATTTAATGCATCATGCTGAATGGAAAGACTGTTTTGTAGATGAATGTTAAAAAAGGGGCAGAGTATGAATTCTACTAATAAAGCCCTGTGCAGGTTCCTACTTTACTATTTTGGGAGCAGTAGTTGCAATGTCACAGTTAATCATGGAATATTTCAAACTGTCTCACGTATTATCTTCTTTTTTTTTTTTGGATACTGGTTCGAATTTAGGGCCTTAGACTTGATAAGGCATGTGCTCTACCACTTGTGCCATTTTTTTTTTCCAGATAGGGTCTCTTGTTTTTTGCCCAAGGCTGCCTCAGAATGTGATCCCCTACCTCTGCCACCCATGTAGCTGGAACTACAGAAGTTCACCATCACACCCAGCTTGTTAGTTGAGATAGGGTCTCATTAACTTTTTTCCCCAGGTTGACCTTAAACTTCAGTTCTCCTTTCTGAATAGCTAGGATTATTGGCACAGATTGCCACATCTGGCCTCATATTATCTTTTAAATTGCCCTCACTTTTATGTAAGATTCTGTGTGTTACCATAGCTCATGAAATTTGTTATTTCTAAGTCATTATCTAAATATCTGTATAAACTTATTAAAACTATTTCCTATGTAGACCAGTAACAGTCATGCATAGCATAAATCTGGAATGACTACAAAATAACTGGTTGTGGTGGGAATAATGCAATAACAGCAGCTAATATTTACTGCCAGTTTCCTATGTGTCAGATAACGGTTTACAAGCACATGGTATGACCCTTTAGAACAGTCCTGTGTGGATGGACTATGGATGAGAAAACTGAGGCACAAGCTTGTGAAGGTGACACAGCTAGAACCTGGTGGAGCTGAGTTCAGAGTTCTTCCACAGCCCATGCAGTCCTAAAACCTAACTGCTGTGTTCTGGATGCTATTGTCATTTATCCTTCAAGTGCCATTCTAGAGGGAAGAAAATATAATTTCCTACCCAAGTGGACATGAAATTCACAGATTCAGTCCTAGAGAAGACAGGTCTGTATGGCACCAGGCTGCCTATTCCCCGTTGGGCAAGGTGTCTGCTGGCCTTACAGGAAGTTGTCATTGGACGAGCTGTGTGGTGCTGAGCTGAAGCTGGTGTTCTGCTTCCCTGGGGGAGGGGTGAGAAGCTAGAGGTACCTTCAGTGCACGTTCCCAACACATCTGCTCCAGCTTTGGGACAGAGCTCCCTGGTTCTGATTGTTGTTTTTCTTTGGTTTTTCTCACCCCGTTTCTTGACTCCCTGTCTGGGGGGTGCTTCCCTTTCTTTGGGCATGCCTTCTTCCTCCACAGGGGAGTACATACTACTTGCACATGGCATTCTACCAGGACTTTCTCCTACCCAAAGCTGCTGTTTTCCTCTGGCTTTTCTGGCTTCCCCATCCACTTGTACAGTCCAGTTGTACAATGACTCCCTGTGATGCAAAGGAGTTTAGGGACCCTGCTGAACTGTACTTGCTTTGTGTCTGTTTTGCTAATTTATTCTAATCACTGGCTAATCTTGCTTGTGTTTCTTAGCCAAGGATATTTGGGGCTTTCCCTACCCCTGCAGGACTCGCTTAGCTTACTTGAAACATGTTGTAGGTAGCTGCCCCTCTCCATGTTTTCTTCATTCTTGCTTTCCCATTTACGATCTTTTCAAATACTGTCTATAATGTTTATAGTTAAATTTGGCAAAAGTGAGCCAACTGTTTTTGCTACCATTTTAAATATCAAGTACATTGAGGAGAATGTGGGGATGGAGAAATATTATAAAATGTTTTATTTCAAAGTTGATTTAAGGCTGGGGGATCAAGAAATTGCCTAGCATGTGCAAGGCAATTTGTAGTGCTGGATCCTCAGCACTACAAAAAACAAACAAAAGGAAGCAAACAAACAATAAAGTTGATTTAAACTACCTAAACCATGAGAGAAAATCTGTAAATGTTTTGCTAAATAGGAGAGCAACCAACCATGCCTTGTCTTTGGTTCCCAATTTGGACTGCACTGCTGGTAGGACTTTTTCTTAACTTTAATTAAGTAAAACTTAATATACATGAATAAATTTAAAAAAAATAAAACTTAATAAATCACTGACTGAATCTAAACAGCCATTTTTTCAGTTCCTCACAGAATCTTCCATTCCCTCGAAATCACAATTCCTTCTTTATCCAAGCATTCTCGGTTTGCCACCTGTTCTTTGGTCATCCCTGGGTGATTGTTGGTGATATCTGGCAGGTCTTCTTTTAGTTCATTGTCTCTGTGGATTTAAAAAAATAAAAAAACAAAAAACAAGTGTTTATAGGGCCTGGAAGTTTAGATTCATAGCAGTAGTAGAGGCAGTGTGTGTTGACTGGAACCGTTTACTTCCCTAATGCTCATAGGAACTGTACCGTGTGTTGGTGTCCTCTCTCTGGGTGAGGAGACAGAGACCCAGTGTGCATTTAGCAGCAGAATGTGTGGTTACCTTGGACTTGTCTCATTCCAAAGCCTACAAGCCTTTTACTACTACTCATTTCCAGCCTATTACACAATAAAAAGACTTGCAGATTTTTTCCCCTCCAACACAACTTTTTGAGACACTCTAGACATTGTGTCATTACATACTTTCTTTGAGAATAAGAAAAAATTTGTTAAGCATTTTTGCACTATTAAAGGGCTTTTCCCCCACCCCCTCCAATTCTGGAGATTGAACTCAGGACTTTGTGCTTGCTAGGCAAGTACCATTTGAGCCTTGCTCTCAGCCCTGTTGTTTTTAGTTTTTATCACATAGGGTCTTGCAGTAAGTTTGCCTGGGCTGACCCAGAACCATTATTCTCCTACCTCTGCCTCTTGTAAGTAGCTGGGATGACAGGTATGAGCCACCATGCCTGATCCTTAAAATGCATTTTTATGAGCAGTGTATATATATATATATATAATTTACCATCTTTCCAAGACAGGATATTTTCTTCTGCAGAAATATTACAAAGATAATGAAGTGTAAATGTTTACAGTATCATTCATTAGCCTCCTCTTGCCTCGGTCACCTTGGTGTTGAGTCTCCTGTGGTAGTTACCACATAGGGATCTTTCACTGTAGTGCTGTGGATTCAGAACCCCATGCAATGTCAAGGATTTCCCCTGGGTATCTCGGAATGGAAAGTTCATTTATATCTCTATGTCTTTTGAAAGGATTCTGAGGCTACTGGCCCAGGGGTAAGGACTAACTGTATTATAAAGTGTTAAGATTTTGACTCTAAGTTTAGTCAATGGGTGAGGCATAGAAAGGGGAGGGGCAGTTCACGCAGTGGTTCATGTGTCACCCACTAGAGAATCCAGTCTGTTCCAGGGATTTTAGCTGAGTTCAGGATAGTGGAGGTTTGAATTCTGTTTATATTTGGCCAACCACTACTTCCTGTTTCTAAAGAAAAGAACCTTAATAGGATTTGGATCTGGCCCACACAAATGTTTTGTAAGAGGGAAGTGTAAATGAGTTGGAAACATTTCCAGATTAGATTTCCCTTAAAATACCCCTGGGCTTAAAGAGTGAAGGGAGAGCAGCACTTGGCAAGGCAGGTTTGGTCCTGTGAGCAGCTGGGACACTTCGCCAGACCAGTGATGGCCACCAGATTGCTCTGTCCCTGACATGCAGCTCCAGAGGCCAGCCAGCTCTGCCTGCGCCCTGACAAAGTGGGACTTACGATCTGTGGCTTTTCTAGAATGTTCTAGGTTTACTCTGATTTGTTGCAGTTTAGAAGCTCAGTCTGCCCTGAGAGGTTAGATAGATTCTGCCTGAACTCTGCTCTTTGAGCCATTTTTAAAGAGAGCTTGTTCTGTAAGTAATACACAAGCATGACGCTGTGGGCTTTGCCTGTGAGTGTTTTATTTATTTTGGAAAATTCACTTAGGTGCATGGTGTGCTTTTATTTTTATCTCTCAGAGGGCTTGTGGGAGGCTGAAGAGACTTGTTCATCTTGCATTTGAAACTTCCAGGCTGGCATTTGAACTAAATAATTCACTGTCATCATCCATATCAAGTTTAAGTGGAAAATCTCTCTTTTTTTCAATACGCATATGTCCTTGTGTAGTTAGAAAGAAGGCTATGAATATGTTATGAAAATGAAGCAGTGCGTCATCTGAAGGGCTGTGTTGATACGTTATCCTCATGCCAAAAGTAAAAGTAAGAGTAAACTCATTTCTAAATAGATTTTTCTGTCTTTTCTAGGTGTCTGTTACTAAGGCTGACCAAGAACTGGGATTCGCCATCCAAACCTGCTTTATCTCTCCATATTCAAACCCAGATAGGATGTCCGATTACACCATCATCGAGAACATCTGTCCTAAAGACGAATCTGTGAAGTTCTACAGCCCCAGGGCAGTGCACTTTCCTGTCCCACACGCGGAGGTGGACAGGAAGAGGTTTAGCTTTGTCTTTAAACCCATGTTCAACACCTCGCTGCTCTTCCTTCAGTGCGAGCTGACGCTGTGCACCAAGAGAGCAAAAGACCCCCAGAAGTTGCCTAAGGTTAGTGGGCTTTCCTCCATATGGACTGTTATTTTTGGCATCTATAGGTACTGCAGTGACCTACTGGGGAAGATTGAGGTTTTTGGTTTTGGAACTGCCTGATAGAAGTAATAAAGTCAGTGTGAGCAGGAAGCTGTGAGCTTTCTGGAGTCTTAGAGAATAAATCCTGACAGTATGATCTTTTTTCTTTCCACGTGTGCTACTTAGTAGTACCTTACAAGTGATAAATCAGCCCTGTTTTCCACTGAGGGAGAGGCCTGGCTTTATCTGTGCAGTCAGATAGCGTGCAGTGCCAGAATTACAGCCAGCCGAAAGGACAAGTTCAGTGTGAGGATTAATTTTTCCAGGTCCCACTGAGACGTGGATTGCAATTGTTTTTTGACCTTCTCTGTGTGAGTTATAAGGTTGACTTGTCTCGGGAGGATTTCTACGGGAAACTAACAAATATTTTACTTTTTCTCAGTTTCATATCAGTTCATCATGTTTGCCTCATGTCACTCCCCATCTTGAACCAGTACATTCTGTTGTCATAACAGAAATCAGAATCCTCTGACCTTGTTGGAATGGCTGTTGTAGGGCTCTGTAAGGTCATTTATGATTCCTCATCAGGTCGGCCTTGTGTGTGAAAGGTATCTTCTGCTGTAGCTTTGTTTCTGTGGCCTGCTGTAATCCTATCTCATTTCCTGTATGCATTTATTATGTAGCTATCCCACACAGTGTAAAAACTGGCTTCTAATTCTTTCTAGTCACCCATTAATCCATGTCTCAAAGGCTATGAATCAAGCTGTATGCTTGAAAATGTCTGTGTGGACTTCTGTCATTTCATATATGGGCTATTAAAAACAGGCATAAGAAGTAGGAGGGAAAATTATCATTATCAAATAAATTACCATCAATCTGAATCCCTTTCATAATTATACTTTCCTGGGCGTCCATTTCTTTGAAAATTTTGTCAACCTCGGAAAACACAGTGACTCTGATCACTTAGGAAACACATATGCGGTGACTTAGCTATATTCACTTCTGTGCTTTAAAATCACTGGTGGCTTAGCCTCTTGAGTATTCTCCTTCCTGTGGCCATCATGGTTGGGGCTTAGTGGACATGGTAGAGAGCCATAGGGAACCCCTTGCCTGGCTGTGGGACCCAGCTACTTCTTCCAGGAAGAAGGATAATTCTAGGAGTTAGGGATTTAGAAGAAGAGGGCTGACAGTTATCAGGTAACTTTGTTGATGGCTTTGGCTGTTAGTCTGGCCTAGAACAGTCCTGCTTCACAGTATGTTAATCTGTGAAAATTAATCCTAGTATTTCCAAGGAAAGGTCTAAGTCCCAGAGGATGACCTTAAACTTCAACCATTTACCTCCACGGTAGGGCATAGTAGAAAAAGCGTAGGAACTGTGAAGGAGGGTTTTCCCCAATGTGGGGACTTTAAGAAAGTCCCTAGACCCCCCAGAAAGTCAAAATGATAGCACCTGGCTTCTTTCCTGCATAGAAAAGCAAATGAGATGGTAGATGATGCCTACTATCTTTTGCTTGTAGGTAATATTTCCATAGTCCTAGTGACTTGAGTGCTTCTGTGACAATAGAAGAGAACCTAAGAATCTTCTAGGAAGAAGTCCCAAAAATCATTGAGTTCAGCCCTGCCCTTTGCTGATAAAATAGGATCAGAGAGTTAAGTGTCTGGCCCAGGGTCACCCACTGAGATAGAGGCACATCATAGATGTGCTTAACTGATGAACTAATAGGACAGTAAGAGTAAAATAAAGTAGGAAAGTAAAATGCAAACCTGCTCAATAATCATACGCTCCTCTGAAAATCCATTGTTTCCCTCTACAACATGACTTTTAGGCATTTCTTTTCTGTTGGGTGGGTGGTTGATGGGAATGTCGTCTTCTTTTTCTTTTGTGTGTGGTGCTAGGGACCAAAACACAGGCCTTAAAATAGTTTCTGCCGGGTATAGAGGGGGTGGGGGGGAGAGGGAGGGGGGGGAGTGGGTGGTAAGGGAGGGGGTGGGGGCAGAGGGGAGAGATGACCCAAGCATTGTATGCACATATGAATAAAAAAAAAAAAAAAAAAAACCCAAGGCCTTCTGCATGCTGGGTAAGTGTTCTACCAAGGCCTTGCACTGCCAGGCTAGTGCTCTACCACTGGGCTGTATCTCCAGCCCTTGGTTTTGAGACAGGGTCTTGCTATGTAACCCAGGCTGATCTCAAACTCACAATCCTCCTGCCTCTGCCTCCTGAGTACTGGGATTACAGGCATGAACCATCACACTGGCTTGTGGTTATCTTCTAATATGTGTCTGGCTTGTGTGTTGTCCAAAGCAACCTCCCTGAAAAGGCTTACATCTTCATTCTTGTGATTGGGAGAGGTGTAATTTCATTAGCTTAAATGATTGGCAAATGGGAGTCATTTGCATTAGAATATTACTTATTGATGAGCATAGGCAAGGAATGAAAATTATTTGGCTCTTAGCCAAGGACAAAAAATGTAAGTTATTCTAAAGGGAAAATTACTGGAGTGTAATCATACTTTCTTTCAGATGTGGTGAACTGCAGTCATGCCCCTTGTAAGTCTGAAAACTTAAATTAGCTAGAATCTGCTGATCTCATGGTCTCCACTAGAGAACCACTTCCCAGGAGCTGCACTTTAGACCATTAAAGGCAGATGGTCCTGGGCTGGGGGTGTCGCTCGGAGGTAGAGCACGTTAAACACTTGGCATGTACAAGGCCAGGCTCTGGGTAAAATCCTAGCACCAAAAAAACCCAATCAACCAAACAACAACATAAAAACCAGATGACCCTGGAAAGTTTAATTTTGTGTAGCTTAATAAAAAAAATCAAGCAAACTTGACAACCTGATTATCTTTTTGGATACCAAATATAAAAATCTGTCACCTTCATAATACAACACATAAAGTTTCCCACAATCACAAATCACAAATCACAAACTATCTGCGTGAAGCCAGCTTGGTGAAGGGCCAGTGTTACTCATATAGTTCCCCTACTTTTCAGACTAACTCTAAAACTTCTGTAGTTTTGTGGGAAGAAGGAACAGGAAGCATAATATATTGATAAGCCATCCAATGATATTTGCATCTTCCAGCGCAGCTGAAGATACACTGGGCCTGCCACCATATCGGCGGGATTATTTAGGATTCTTTGAGAAACAAAACTCTGTTTCCTGTGGTAAACAGCTGTGAGCTGTCTGATAAGGGGCCACAGGACAGCTGTGTGCGCTGGGCTGGGGGAGGCAGTTTTGTGTGACCTCTGACTGCCTCACTCTGCCTCCCTACAGTGCGTGCCTCCTGATGAAGCCTGCACCTCGCTGGATGCTGCCATGATCTGGGCCATGGTGCAGAATAAGAAGACGTTCACCAAGCCTCTGGCGGTGATCCACCCAGTGGAACATAAAGGTGTGCTCTGGGAGGCTCAGTCAGACATAGGGCCCCAGGGGCTGCTCTTGAGAAGCTCCAGTACTGTAAATCAAAGTCCAGTTTCATTCAAAAGATCAATTAAGAGCCTCAGTGAAGAGCCTCTCAGTAGCTTTAGAAAAGGAATCTTTGCTTAAGGAGGCCTTTCTTTAGCCAGTTTTCCTGTTGCCATTGTTGCTGAGTTGGAAGTTGCAAATTATTTCTTCTTAAAAAATTAGATCAGGGTCAAGGTTGTCTCTGTCATGGCACTCTCCTTTGTATTCAAATATGCTTTTGTGAGTATGCAAAAAACAGTTAGCATCCCTAGCATGCTGGGACTTGCACACAGTCCACAGCCCATCTTTCTGCGATCTATAACTAATGGCTGTGCTGGCTACCAGCTGTTGTAATGCTTTGTCACAACCACAGATGCTTTCAAGAGGGGGTTATGTCTGTGAACATTGTCACCCTAGGTGTCCCAGCAGAAAGGAGATTGAGAACCACTGCCAAATATGTCTTATAACTCAGATTTCAGGATTTTACACAGTCGTATTTGTTGCTTGAAGCCAAGGATGTCTCTTCCTCCATGTACAGAAACATTCAGCAAATTGTATCTTCATGTGCTTGGAATGGTGTGGCATCAGTGCCTGGGAGGACAGGCAGGGCAGAGCCGGGCCTGGCATAGGCCAGGCCAGCAGGGACACAGGGCTGGGGCCTAGGGGGATGTTGGGAATGGAAATGAGGCCCTGTGGACTGTGAGGAGAGCCTCAGACAGGGACCATATCACTACTCCAGGAAGCATAGACAAGCAAGGACACATCAGGCAGTTGTCAATATCTGAACAGTGGAATCAAATGTCACATGGGCTATCTGGGCTGTTACAGTTGTCCCTGTCTAGAAACAGCAAGTCACTCGCCAGAAGCATTGCCATCTAAGGGTGTCAAACCAAGAGAAGGCTGGCAGAGGAAAGTGGATTCCAAGCCTCCAGCTTGAGATATTCCAGGGCAGACAGGAGCCCAGACACAAAGGGCCATGACAAAGCCAGTGAGCACCCCAGCTCCAGCTACTGGGCATTAGCAGGAACACTGGCTGGCTGTGCTGACACCAGTTCTGGGCTTGGGGTGACCCTGGAATGGCATTTCTGATCTGAGCATTGTTAGATTGGGATATGGCAGGAATAGGTGGCCGGGCTGGTTCTGGAGCAAACAGGACCTTCCTGGATAGAGGAAGGTGGCCCCCAGTATGGCTGTGTGACCTTTGTGGCGGTAGCTGTGCCATTGCAATTGTCCTATCTGATGGTGGCAGCTGTCCCCTTCCTTGGGGCATGCTGGCACTCACCTCAGAAAGGAGAGGTCGGGGAGGGCATGGCTTAGAGCCAAGAGCTTAGGGCACTACTCTTGGTTCATTTCCACACTGCAGCTGTGGAGGACTCGCCTCACCTCTTTGGTTTCGTGTTCATCTGGAAAGGCAGGGTTTGGACCAGATGACCTCCAGAAGCCCTTTCAGATCCATCACTCAACTATACTGTTGGAAGGAGCAGTTATTGTTAATTCATTTGCCAGCCATCCTAAAGTTGTTATGAAATGTATATATCAGATATATTCCTCAGCAATATTTTCATTGTTTATTTTACTTTTATTTCATTTTTGGTAGGATTGGGGTTTGAACTCAGGGCTTTACACTTGCAAAGCAGGTGCTCTACCACTTTAAGCCACACCTCTGGTCCATTTTGCTCTGGTTATTTTGGAGATGGGGGCGGGGTGGTGGGTTGGGGGGCGAGTCTCAGGACTGTTTGCTCAGGCTGGCTTTGAACCATGATCCTCCTCATCTCAGCCTCTCAAGTACCAAGGATTACAGGCGTAAGCCACCTTCACTTGACTATTACTTTATCAGCTCTTTTATTGAGCCGTTTTTGACCATTTGAAGTTGTAACAGTTGGCTTTGTTTAAATGGGTTGTCCAAATACTGGTTTCTTTTTATTGGTTTGAGGGAAAAGAAAAATGAATAAACTAATTGAGTTGCAAAGAAATCACCATGGGCCACAGCTGGCTCTGTGTTGTACCATGAAAGTGTTTGACAATAGCAGGCGCTACCTCCCACTCCATCTGTAACTGTTACCTATTTTGAGGGAGGTAATTCGGCTGGTAATTAAAGGCAGCAGCTTGCTTTTTCCCATGCCAGACAATAATTAGGCATTAATATTGTAGCAGTGTAACTTCCAGCCATTCATTCATTCTTCTTTTAAGTCTGGTAATATTTTTCTAAGTAATTTCTCTTGTAAATTAGGTAATTACTTTTATTTAAACTGAGTGTAATTACACTGAAAGTTCAGTGTTTTCTCTACATAAAAAGTTCACAAGGAAGCTTTTACCAAATATCAAAGCAATTTCATGAGATTTGCTAATTGACATTAGATTTTAGTAGAGAAGCATGTGGGTGAAAAAATTTATTGCTTAGGTTTATTAAACAAATTGAGGAGGTTAAACTGTAGGTCAGCTCCCCAGGGGTTGCACACAGATTCATGTTCTCACTTTGCACTAAATGGGTACATCTTCTGAGCAGTTTTTAGCTCTGCAATGACTCCCCTGCCTTTTATGTTTATTTTCTTTTCTCCACGCAGAGGAGAAAAGATTTTCGGAAAGTTGGGGGAGGAGGGGAAAGGAGTCTGCTTTCTCTCTACCTCATCTGCCTAACAGTGAGTTGGTTATTAGAAAAGGAAATGTGACCTCTCCTTTTCTATAATAGTATACTATTTCCTAATAGTATGGGCTTATTTGACTAATAACATGATCATGAATATTCTTTTGGGGAGTAAGCAGATCACTTACTGGAATTAACTTTTTGGGTAAAAATCTCCCGACCAAGGGGATTGTTTGAAAGCCATGCCAAAGCTCCAGCTCTCCTTGGCCATTTGGTTCATCTTATTTTTCAACAGTTGAGTTTTCTGGGGCAGCAGACAAAAGCAGACAGCCAGGCAGAGATCAAGAGCGTGGTGACCACCACTGTCAAGAACATGGACATCCTTCAGACCATATTTCCTCCTCCTGTGGTCAGAGAGAGTAGGCCATCAAGTCTACATAAATAATTCTGGGTTTCTCCTCTGAGCCACTGTTTTTAATGTAACCTTCTTGAGCACTTTGCTACCTTTGATAGCTATGTCCTTTGGGAACCAGTGTTGGGTTATCATTCTTTTACTATTTAAAATTTTAAGAATAGTTGGTGGCACTGGTGGTGATGATGACACAGATGGTGGTGGTGGTGATTATCTGACATTTCTTGAGCATTTACTTTGTACAAGGCTCTATGTTAAATGCTTTCTGTGGATTATCATGTTTACTCCTCAGCACTTTTTTATTAGACAGAGCTTAAATAACTTGGTTAAAGGCCATGTATCCTATAAATGACAGATTCTATAGTCTGTTCTCTTAAACACTATGCCTGGCCTCAGATGGGGGTTGATTCTAATTTTTAATGAAAACTGCCAATAACATAGGTATCTATCTCCTTTGACCCCTCTTCCTTTCCCCTTTCTCCCTCTTCATCACATGTCACATTGGTATTCAGGGTACCACCCAAGTGTTCTAGTGAACATGAACTGAAAGCAAGAGGAAGAATTTTAGAAAAAGGCCTATTCCTCTAAAGGATTAAGATGCCAGGAAATGGATAAACTGAGTGTTAAAGTTCATGAGAACTTCTGTGACCTTGATATATTATTCATATTTCTCTCTTTCTCTCTCATACACCACACACACACAACATGAATTATGGTTTATGGCAAAATAATTAAAACAGTTGTGGCTGTGCCATCCTACCATGGTTTCTGAAACAGTTCAAAGTGTAGGCATGTTAGTGCTGCTTGTTCTGGATGTTGTGACCTCTCTCTATGGAATTTGAGAACAGTTAGGTTTGCATAATAAAAATGGTTGTACCATGTCAGGAATGATTTTTTAAAATGATGAGGAATAATTCTTTCTCTGAAACAGTACACATACATGAAGAAGTATGCACAACAGTATCTTCCCCAAATTTGCCATGATTTATATACAAAATTTAGTTTGTTGCAAGTTAATTGTTGGAAATGCTAGATTTTCTCCCTATTTCTAGCACATTTAAAAATAAAAGCACCTGCATGTCATGGACACTTAGTAAATGTTAATTTCTTCTCTTTCCTCTAAACCTCTCAGCCAAACTGGGGTGGGGGGCGGCGGGGAGGGATTGCAGAGAAGGAGGGAGAAGTGGAAAGGAAAGTTCTGAGTGCCAATTTGAAGTTAATCCAAGGGAGGCATTACTTTTTTGGAATACATTTGATTTTTCCAGAACAAAAGTATTGTAAAGAACCAGCCAGTTTTTTGTCCTCGGGCTAAGGTAGAGACGAAGGGAAACAGTAGGAAGATGTAGAAAGGCTTACCTAACAAAATGAGGCATCCAGTCTATCCAATGAGGAAGGGAATTATAGGGATTGTTACAACTTGGGTACTTCACGTTTTTAAAACTGTATTCTGGAAAATTTCAAATATATACAAAACTAAAATGAACCCCCATCTGGTTTTAACAACTACCTATTTGTGGTGAATCTTCTTTTATCACTTCCTGTTGCCCACTGGATTGTGTGGAAGGAAACACAAACACTTGCTTCATCCATAAATATTCCAGTATGCCCTTCTAAAGGTTAAGAACCATCAAAAGATCTTAGATTGTTTAGGAAGACCTCTCTGAAAGCAGTGTGAAGATTGGTTGCAAGAGAAAGTACTCAGCAAAGGATATATATGGTATTTATGGTTGTTTAATCTGAAAAAATGTTTACTCCGTCCTACTATATGCCTAGCATGTAGTTGACAGATCATCCTGTCTTTAAGGCCCTTATAGTTCTAGGGTGGTGCTTCCCAACCTCAAAAGTAGCAGCATTTTGGGTTGGATAACCCTGTTGTGGGCGCTGTCCTGTGCATTGCAGAATGTTTAACAGTATCCTTGGTTTCTACCCCCTAGATGCCCACAGCAAACCACCCTCCCTCTGTTCCCCCTTCCCCCCACCATTGTAACAACCCACTATGTCTCTAGACAGTTCCAAGTTTCCAAAATCACCCCTAGGTAAGGAGCATTGCCTGGTGGCAGTATGCAGATGAGTGGGCGGGCCATAACAATGCATGCCATAAATGTTTAAAGAGCTCAGAGAAGGGGTTTAGAAACAATGAAATGAAGTTGGTGAAAGCTGTGTCCTAATGGGGCTCACACAAAGCCTCCTACATCTCCAGAAGGACACTTCCTCTCCCCAGCCCTCCCTCTGCCAAATGTCAACAGATATGGATATCAGTTTGATGCCTCGTTTCTCTGGGCCTGCTCAGGCCTCCAACTGCTTAAAGAGCTGAATTGAAACTGGAGACCAAAAGCTGTGGTCAGTTACTCATGCATAACCCAGAAGTCTCCTGTTTATGAAACTCATGCCTAACTATCCGAGGAGGGAAATTTTGGCTCTAGAGGTAGACCAAAATTTACTCCTTTGATTCAGAATGTTGATTATAGTTTTTTTTTTTTTTCTTTCTGCAAAGAAATCTATTGTTAAAGTTCTCTTTACAGCAATATCTAGGATTCCTTTCTTACAATCTTATCCCTAAACCCAAAGTAAATATTGTTACGTCCGCTCTTTCCCTTTCAGCATACCAGCTCGATTATAGGGTTTTGGTGGAGGTAAAGTTATTTTAGTTATACTCAGGGGTTATGGGGAACTGGGGAACAGAAAAGCTTGAGGGTAAGATGCTCAAGTCTGTGTTTGTAGGCTGTTTGTTACTGCTTATGTACAGTTGTAAAGGAGCCCCTCCCGAAGAAATGAGCAAGAACAGCTTCTATTTAGCTCTCTGAGAAGGCCCTATTGGGGTGGGGGGAGAGGATTAGATCACAACATAAGTCCATTAAGAATTTTAAAACAATGCCATCCATCACACAGGCCTTGTTATAAAGCCTAAATTCTTACATGTGAGGTCTCCTTAGGGGAGAATCGTTATTTTTAAACCACTTGGGGATTCTGAGTGACAAAGTTTAACCACAGGCAATGCATTGGATGGAACTCTTCCCAGAAGTGTGTGTATACTTCTTGCATGCTGCATACTACTAAGTCCTTTAAATGCCTTTGGACTCAGTTCAGAGAATCAAACTATTTCTTCTTGAAAGTAGGCGAGTTCTGTGGTTAGATACCCCTACTTCGTAGGGTTCTTGGGAGTTGACAATGAGGTAATTTAAGGGAAGGCTTTTTGTCAGTTATAAAATGGTGTACAAAGGTACAAAGGTACAGGGCCACCGTGTTGCACAGCTCCAGGGTTGCTATTCAGTTTCATTCCTCCCCCAGAGATGGACTATTGATAACTTGCACTGTAGGAATGTCAATCAATCCAGTTGGTATGGTCAATCCTGAGAGTTTACAACCTGTTTCCTTTCACCCTGTCAACCTTTGTTATTTTTATAAAGAATGACTCCATGCTGCATATTTTTTATCAGATCTTCACAGGCTCTTTTTGCTTTACTGTGGATTCAAATTCTAAGTGTGTGTTCCTTCCTTTTGAGTGAAGTAGACTAAAAAAGAGAGGCACTGAAGGCAAATCACTTTTAACTCTAACGACAGGTCTGTGCCAGGGCTCAGCACCCTTTTTTTTAGAAAGGGCCAGATAGAAAATATTTTTAGTTTGGGGCACATGTAGTCCATGTCTGTGCAATTCCACTGTTGTAGCATGAAGGTATAGACAATATGTAATGAGCATGGCTGTGATCACATAAAACTTTGTTAGTGGAGTAAATTTAAATTTCATATAACTTTCACATCACATCAAGCTGGATATGGTGCTGCACATCTGTAATCCCAGCTACTTGGGAGGTGGAGGTAGGAGAATCAAGGTCCAAGACCAACACTCAGCAAAAAATGCAAAACCCTGTCTGTAAAATACTAAAGCAAAATGGGCTGGGGGCTTGGCTCAAGGCTCAAAGTACTTATCTAGCAAGCATGAGGGCCTGAGTTCAAACCCCAATACCACCAAAGAAGAAGAAACCATTTCGAAATATAAAATCCATCCTTACCTCACAGGCCATTGTCCTCACCCCCTGGTCTGTGGTGTTCCCTCCCACTGTTGCAGGTGGTGAGCACAGTGCTTCCATAGCTAAGGACAGGGACAGAGCCACACTTCCCTGTCCTTTAGCCTATCAAGCAGGAGTCTGGAATTCTGGTTCAATCCCTGCCCTGATGCTTCCCAGCTGTGACCTTAGGTTAGTCACAAGATATTAGTCTCAGTTTGCTCATTTGCATAATAGTGATAAAAATTCTTTTTCTGTCTCCCTTACAGGGTCTCAAATGAGATCTTTGCTATGTGGCACTTTGCGAACATGAAACATTGAAGCATATAAGCATTTTACTAGTGGTATTCTTTGTTTCCTCCATTTTCAAAAAGTCCATCAACATTTTTATCATCCTTCACCAAACAGTCTGAGCCCTGAGGACTAGCAGATGAGTAAAGAATTAGAACTTTTTCCTCAGGGAGAAAAAAAAAGCCCCTCCCTCCCCCCACTCCCCTTAGCAAGTTAGGATGTGATGTAGCACAAGCGTGACAGAAGAGGGATGCCAAGCACAATGGTGGGAGAGACCAGCTGTGCTGGGAGGAGTCAGAAGTCAGGGAAAGCCTGCCCATGGAAGAACCAACAAAGCAGTTCTGGGAAGGAGGCCACTTCAGGGCACAGGACAGCTTGCTTGCAGCATGTGATGACATGGAGCAGCATAGAGACAGGAGAGCTTAGATAACTAGGTGAGAGGAGCCCAGCATGGGGTGACCCCACCAGGAAAGGAGGGAGAGAAACCTTTGTCTTTCACTCAGAACAGTTCCCTGTAAATAAAGGGAAGGCTAAGGAGCAAGAACATGAGTTCAAACCCCAGTACCACCAAAGGTTAAGGTCATTTAGTCCCACAGGCTAACTGACATGATCAGCTCTGGGCTCTGGAAAGTCCACTCTGGTGATGAATGTGGAGGAGGAACTATTTGAGGGTGGGGCAGGTAGTGGGGGAGACCTCTGGTGTTACAGATAAGTGAACATGTGCTGGACTATAGGATGATAGCATTACAGAGAGAAGACTAAAGATATAAAATGCAAATTCTTAGTTTCTTTGTGGATTGCATTATAACTTATGCTCTTGTTTCAGAAAACACTCCAAACATGAAGGAACCGAATCCAGTTTCTCCACGTAAGTCTTTATGCAGCTATTTCAAAATAAATTCACCAAGGCTTTGACAAGAAGCAGTTGGTTAGTGGAGATTTGGCAAGCTTTGAATTTTGATAAGGAGAATTCTGTTCTCGTTCCCCTTTCCTTTTTTTTGTCTCATACTTTCTTTTCCCCTGTCCTTCATACATCCCCCTCTTTCTTCTTTCCCTTTCCACTTTTCCCATTTGAAAATATTAATTTGTGGGGCCCACTGACATTGTGGCCTGAATGGGAAGATAGTAATTTAGCTTTAGAGGTCATTTAATTATTTGCATGCTTGTACCTGTTGTGATCTGAAAAGCCTTAATGTCCAGCTGTGTGAGTGTTGCCAACAATGTTTACCTGCTTGGTAAAGGAACCAGTGGCCATATGTTCCAGACCATCTCTAGTTTCGCAGGGTGAGGGGCCAGGGAGGGCAAGTAAGAAAATAATCAGCACAACACTAATGACTACAGAATGACGAGCTAGAGATTATGTAGATCAATTTCATCATGTTGTATTGAAGAAAATGTTAGTAAGAAATATTTCAGTGAGTTGCCCATGGTTAATATTGGCAACGAGGCAGGATTCCACCTGACTTCCTAGCTGCCCACCCAGAGTTCTTCTAGATGTGAGGAGACTGCTTTTTTCCTTCTCTAAGACTCCCAGGATTGGTCTCCAGGGCTGACCCCATCATATACCTGAGGCAGTCAGTCTTCATAGTGCCTTTATACAAAGCCCCTTATAAACTGATCTCCTGAGTGGATTATCTAACAGGATTATGGAACAATATGATAAACTCAGACCGTGTGGACACATTCTCTCATGTTCACCTAGTCTGATTTTCATAAATGACATCTTCATTTTTAGAACTTTAGAATGTTTTCACTTAAAACTTGTAATCATATACCCTCTTTGCATCTGTGCACACACAAAAAAAGAAAATTGCGTTTTAATATCTGTCCTACAGACTAGATTAAACTAAATAGGTTGATTGGTTTGTCATAGCCTCCGTAGAGCTCTTCCCAGTTCTCAATCTTTTAGGGGATCCTTCTTCATTTTATAAACTCATTTTGTGTACCTCCTGCCTCAGTAAATGAAGTAATCCCATCTTCCAGAATTTAAATGAAATATACCAAAGGGTACAGGACTAGAAGAGTGGGAATCAGACATGGGAGTTTGGATCGTTCTAGACTCTTATCCACCATGACATACTTTTTGCAAGCCCTTTGGCATGTTGGTACTGCTCAAAAGTTGCATTTGTCTATAACTGAGTCTTTTAATTGAAGTGAATTGAAAAGCAAAGAGATTTAATTTATGTAGAGATTAGCTGGAGTTGCTTCTGACTAGAGGGGAAACTTAGAAATTATTTTTAAATTGTGGGGATACCTTATGCATTCAATTTATATGAAGAAAACAGAAATTTTACATTTTTATTTTTACAAAGTCCCCACTCCCTTGAAAACCAATTTTAGCTTTTTCTAAGTGACTCAAAGAAGATAGTTCTCTTAAATGAAAGGAAATATCCTATTTCTGTGGCCTGGAATTAATTTCAAATATAAAAAACTTTGCCAAATGGAGGAATAATTGGTTCTATTTATATGTTTTGCTGACCATGAAACTGACATCGCTTACCACTGGGAAATGTTTCTGTTCCCCTCATAGAAAGATCACAGCTGGAGAAGTGTAAAAAAGCAGGTCATTTTAAATGATGCGATGCATAATTATTAAGATTGAGGGTTTCATAGGAGATCAGTGAAGTGTTATAATCCGAGGAATAATTTATTCTTATTTTGTGTTTCTTCTTCTCAACCCCTTTCTTTCTTTTATCTTTCATATTTTTAATTGTTTGCAAAAATATTGTGAAGTATCCTTTTTAAGAAACAATTTGTGTTTATTTGTCAGTACTGGGGTTTGAACTCAGGGCCTCAGGCTTGTTAGGCAGGGCTCTGCCTCTTGAGTCCTGCCTCCAGCAAGTATTCAAAAGGTGTGTTTTCTGTGCAGTATGACTCATTATTGGAGGTGCTCAATGAATTAGAAGTGATGAGTTTGGCTTTGATCGTGGAAATTCACTTTATTTTCCAATGCATCTTAAGCTGTGAATTTTCCTGCCACCATTCAAATCACAGGTCCTCAGACTAGATAAAGGAACCATGAATTTGAGGTTTTACAAAATTTGAAGATCTGATTTTAAAAATCACTTCTTCAAAATAAAGAGCAAACTGACAATATTTGGAAACCTGCTCATTTCATTTTTCCTCTGTCAAAAAAATTTGCCCTTAACAAAATATGTGGTATTTTACTGCAACCCTTATTACATTCTCAGATTTTATTAGTCAGTGTTCAGCTTTTATGATAGAGCTGTGAAACAGTTATAAAATGACAGTGTCTGATGCAGACTAACATGGAGCGTGTGCATTGGTTTCCCTCTTTTGCAGCCATTTTCCATGGTCTGGACACCATGACAGTGATGGGCATTGCATTTGCAGCATTTGTGATTGGAGCGCTCCTGACAGGGACTCTGTGGTACATCTATTCCCACACAGGTCAGTGCAAGTGGCAGCTGTTATTACTTGGTGCACCACATATCACAGCCACTTAGTGTTTTGTTGGATGAATGAATGGATGAAATAATGAGTGAAAGAGAAACTTCATTCCCACTATTTCCACATTTATGTATTGGGCATGAGTTGGGTAGTAATATAATTTGGTTTAAGCAGTGATAGAAAAGGAATGATTGTGATGGCGGTGTTGCTAATGCTTAGCTTCTAACAAGACTATTTTGTTGTTAGAGCTCAAAGAAAGTTAATGTAGACAAAATGGAATTATAAACTCTTCCTCCAAAGCCAGAAACTTCAGAATAGACCTGTAAATGTGCAGGGAATGAAAAAGGAACCCATGGGGTTGAGCACTCTACACTGGGACTTTTCAATCTTTTTAAACTAATGCCAGGTCTTCTTCAATAAACATAAAATTCTTGTGTCTTTCTTTATAGAAAGTTATTTGAATTTTCAAATATGTTCTTATGAATTGAAAAGAAATAAAAATGGTGAAACAAAGCACTTTTTAAGTTATGCTCCCCCACCCCCAAAATTCTTTTTCTTTTCTTCCTTCCTTTTTCCTTCCCTTTCCCTTCCCCTCCCCTTCCCTCTCTCCCTTCCTCTCTCCCCCTTCTCCCTTCTTCTTCCTTCTTTCCTTCCTTCCTTCCTTAAATTCCATATATGCATATAGTGTATTTTGAGGAAGTTCACCACCTCTATTATATTCCCTTAACCCCATCCCTCCCTTTTAAAAACAATATTTGGTGTGTTTCTGTATGCTGTCTCCATACATAAGTGACACACTTTGATCTTCTTCATCCCCTGGTACCCTCTCTATTTCCCTTCCCTCTCCCATTGTAACACACACACACACACACACACACACACACACACACACACTACTGTCCCTTTTGCACTCAAATCTCATTATTATATATTTTTTAATCATTCTAGACCTTGATTCTGCATATGAGCAAAAAATGTGATATGTGGCTTTTGAGCTTGGCTTATTTCATTCAATATGATCTCCACTTCCATCCATTTTTCTGCAAATGGCATTTTTCATCCTTTACAGCTCATACTTTATTGTGTATATATGATAAATGGATAAAGAAAATGTGTATATACATATCATGCATACATATGTATATATCACATTTTCTTTATCCATATATCGCTCTACCCCCAAAGTCCTAATGTACTTCCTTCACAACAGTCTCGAGGTTGAGACATACAGGCCCGACCTGTGAACCTGTTCTGACACCAGTACAGAATGCAGGCCCAGTGAAGGGAGTTTCAAGGTCAGGGGAGGAGCCCATGCACTTCCCCCTACTGCTTCTGTCCTAGTTTCCCTAGAAATATTAGGAAGGAATGACATGCATTCGGGGCATGTCTAGAGTTGTGTTTGTTCTTGGACACTTGTGGTTTACCCTAGGAGCCTGGGTAAACTGTGCTAGATTGATCAGTCAGAGGCAACTAGTCCAGCTAGAGCAATGACCTACTTGCAGAGAAAAAAAGCACTGAAGGGCAATTGGGGCATCCTATCTTAGTACTCTTGATTGCTGGACAAAACTTTAAACCGTTAAGAAAAAATGCACAACACAGAAATCCTCTGTTAGTTAAAATTTCAAACCTTTTTTTGATTTGAATTTATGCCCACTGACCAAGGTATTTTATATTATAACAGAAACCAAGGAACAAATCCTTTTGTGCCTACTATGGGGAATGCACCCAATCCAAAGGCACCTTCTAGGAAGAAGTTTGGGAGAATTTAATAGTTGGGCTTTGAGTCCTCAGATTATCGCTCCTAATCAGCAGCCCTTAACTGAAGTATGTTTCATGCGAGCAACAGAAAATAAGATCCCTAAGTGTAGTAATTCTGAGTGTTCTGTAAACCTCTACCGATCAGTGTAGGAGTATTCTTCATGAACAGTTTATAAAAGGACCAGAAGGAACAGCTTTTAGTAGAATAGCATTTTAGAGTAAATAATTTTGTCACAGGAATACTGACATGTTCAGATTGCAAATTAACAGTTCTTCACAACTTTTTCCAACCTTCTGCATGGAGGAGGTCTAGGGCTCTTGGCAGCCTATTTTGTCTATTGGGAATGAACTTGAAAGTACTCCAAGAAGACTGTGTAGCCCTAAGATTTTATATGGGCTAGTCACCCACAGATGTTTTCCATGTGCCTGCTCATGACTGGTCTTGGTCATAGAGCTGACCCTCAAACCACACAACTAACCTTGTACCAAGAAACCAGGCAGAATATAGGGCAACCAGATGGTATCCACTATGGGAACACAACCCACCCTTGTCCCCCTGATGATCTCAGCCAAGAACACAAACCTGGTAGAAAGCAAAGCTTGGTTGTGTGGCATACACTGCTCTTCAATGAACTGAGATGATCGTCACTGACCACTTCTCCGCCAAACTCGAGACTCCAGAGGGGATTTTAAAGTATTGTTAAGGGTTGGGAGTGTAGCTCAAGTGTAGAGTGCCTACCTAGCAAGCACAAGGCTCTGAGTTCAAATGCCAGAACCACCGAAAACAAGACAAAACAAATAAAGTAGTGTTAATACAGAAATAGGCTTGAAAATAGGTTAAAGGAAAAACAGAAACCCTTCCTGTGGAACTTTTCAGCAAAATAAGTTATGCCAACTCAGAAGTTAAAACGTTTATAGACACCATTCCTGGGCTTAAAATCTGTTGGCATCACTTATGGTGTAGCCTCAGAATTACTTTTTATTCAGAGCTGTAGCCTCTTTTCGTTTTACAGGCTCTCATAAGGAATAGCAGTGTCAAAGAAGCATGAAGTCTCACTTTAGGACCCAATGATAGTTTCTTGTCCAGACTTGTCAGTTTTGGACCTGGGTCAGCCCCCAGCTGACTTAGCTGAATAGGGCAGGTCAGAACACGCAGCCAATGAGCAGAGATGGGCATCGAGCACTGACTTAATCCATCTCATTTCCACAGCAAGCTCAGCTGTGGAACTCAGACCTTATATGGCATATTTGGGGGTTCGGGCAGCTTCTGCCTGTATCAAAAACAATCGTTCATTTGGACAACTTCCCCTTTGCTTACTCTTTTCACTCTGTCTGCAGCCCACAGCACAAACCAGCCATAGATTTGAACTGTGGATATTTACCTACATACCTGGAACATGTGCTAGGCTTTGTCGAGTAACACGTCTGGGCACAAGAGGACATGCCTGCTTCCAGCTGCATTCATTCCCTTTTGAAAACTCTGTTCCTAAGGCTCTCTTCTCTTGTAGGCTGGTGCAGACAGGAGGAGCTTGGGATAGAAATGGTGCTGTATGAGCGACAGACTCATGCTCCTGCTGAGGCTGGTCAGGGTCCCTAACTTCTAGTCCATGAAGGCCCCAAAAGAAGTGCAAAATTGCATCTGTTGTTTTCTAGAGGGGAAGGACAAAAGCAGTTATTTTTAGTTTTTAGAAAACCTTCTTAGCTTCATCAAAATACTACAGGCATGTAGTTTAAGATTGAAATAGCTCTACAAGACTTAGTATGGGAAAAATCAGGCCTCTACTGCTTCACTCCCCTCTCTCATTCCCTAAAGCACCATTTTTTTTTTTAGTTCTTTGCTGATTCTTTGGAACATTAACCTGCATCTCTAAATAACATGAGTATATCGCTGCTTCTTGACTTACCAGTTTTGGACCTTTTCTATTGACCTCCTTCTATAGAAAATGAGGATGTAACTCTCTTTCACCCCTGTACTCTAAAGGTGCATCCATTCCCTTCTTGTCTGTCTTCCCCCACCATCCTCCTGATGGGATTACATGGAATTTTTTGTTAGATCCATATTCACTGTTTACATTGCTGTGACAACCTACACGCTATCCACAGTTTTGCCATATAGTACAATGTTGTCATTTCTCCTGCATGTTTCTTAAATTTTCCTGAAGAGTAACAGTCTTTCCCTGCCTGTCCCTCATTAGACTAGTTTGCTATCTATTTATCATTAATTCATCTGCTGATTCTCTGCAAGTTGTCTTGATCTCCTCAATACATCCTGGCATATTGGGTCTGGTACAAGACCCATTCACTTTCTTCCTTAAATCTCTCTTGCCAGAGTCATCTGACTTGCTCCTGTATGAACTGTGCGAACGTTATGTCTGGGTGCTGCCGCCGTCTTTCACCTCCTTTCTGGGGGCTCCTTTTGCTTCTATTTTGGGTTGAAGATATCCCTCCTGTGTGTTAACCCCAAGCCCTCCTCCTTCTGGTTTAAAGGGTGCGAACAGGGTAAACGTCTCCCATACCTTGAGTGTCTGCAAATATCCTCATTTTAAAGAAATGTTCAGCAGATAGTTTGTAGTTTGGCAAAGTATAGAATGTTAGATTATAAATAATTTTCCTTTTGAATTTCAAAAGCACTCCTCATTGTTTTCCGTCTTTGAGGATTACTGTTGGGAAGTTTATGGTCTTTCAGATTCCTGATTCCCTTTATATGTGACCTGTTTTTTTCTTTCTATAAGAAATTTTACAGTACTATCCCTTGATGTACATTTTTTTTTTATCTTGCTGTTCTGCGGTTTGACTTAAGTCCTCAAGCTTGCTAGGCAGGTACTCTACCACTTGAGCCAAGCCCCCAGCCCTTTTTTGCTTTAGTTTTTGTTTTAGATTAGAGTCTCAAGTTTTTCCTCGGAGCCAGTCATGGACCATGATCCCTCTTACCTATGTCTCCTTTGTACCTGAGGTTGCAGGCATATATCACCATACCTGGCTTATTTCTTAAGATAGGGTCTTGCTAACTTTTTGCCCAGGCTGATCTTGTTTTCGTTTTTGTGGTATTGAGGTTTGAACTCAAGGCTCACTTGAGCCACTCAGCACCCAGGCTGATCTTGACCCTCGATCCTCCCAATCTCCACCTCCTGAGAAGCTGGAATTATAGGCATGAGCTCACCCACCCAGCTGTTGTAGGTATATTCTCACACATTGTGCTGGGCATTAATTGTCCATTGCATTCCAGAAACTCATGTCTTTCA